CTTTTGAGCATTTAAAATGCGTCCACGAGCCATAAACGATTGTAAAGCATTTCCAAATCGCTCGCGACTCAAATCGCGTGAAGTATGCCCGGGGTCTATGACGCATTTGTAGTTATCATAATAGCATAATTATCCGACAAAGTTGCTTTGCAGTCTCGACAAGATGTGGAACAAGCTCGAATGCAGAATAAGGATCTTTCGCTGGAGATAGCTACACTAAAAGTGGCTTTAGCCAAAAGCAAAGAGGAAATGCGCCGGAATTTAGAAGATGTGAAAGATCAGAAAGAAGATATGACCAAAAGAGAAATCGAGGTGGGTACCGTCTGTAACTACTATTTTGGTTAGTGTTTAGTTGTTATCGATAGTTATTCGATGATGAGACCAATCGTTGCATTTAGTTGAGACGAAGCTTGGAAACGAACTTTGTGAGCCACAACATATCAACATCGAACAATCTGGTCAATGCCTTTCAGTCACTTTCTTCTCAACTGATGGCAATGCAAAAAACGCAATTCACTGCGGAGGTACTCTCTGAATTCATCTTTCAATGAGCAAAATTCATGCCGCACTGATCCTAGTCTCATTTTACCGAAACAAACTGATTTGAACGAGGACTTTTGTGTCACGAATCGATCAAAGATTTTGTATGATCAATACTGGCAATCATCTGTGATAATGGCGTGACCTGCTCTACCAGCCTCCGTTGGTACCGTAGGTCACACGCGTAGTAGATCTTTTGAGCTGGTCAAAAGGTCACCCTATCTCGTTTCAAACTGCTCTACGTGTTCTTGGCTTCATAGATGTTTCTACAGACACGATTATTGATTTTCCTAATTTCAGCAATTGGCTGACGTGCAGCATCAGTTAGGAGAATTGTCTGCCACTAACAAATTTCTACAAGAAAAAGTGATGGAATATCAAGAAAAGGAGAATAAGCTGTCACAGGTAATTATTGTATTTCATATGTGTACTGTATTCACTACTCTACTTTCTTCTACTACTTTATTTTATAACGCACTGTTCTGCATTATCAGCGCTATTTGCACATATAATTGTCTAGCATCTCATCCATAATAGTACCAAGCGATGAAATGTAATTTGTAAAATTTTAAGATAGCTAAAAAATCAAAATATGTGAAATAAGATAAGGAGAATTTCCTATATTACCCAGGAAGATAGAATTTGAATTGGTTGCGCCTCGACACGGCATAGTAGCCACAGAATGAAAGCGATAACGGGGATTACGTTTAAATACTTATACTTTGTTCTAGCAGCTGGCGGAAACACGAGATAGTGCCGAATTGGCAAAGATTGACTTAGAGACCCTACAGAAGAAACTGACCGAAGTTGAGGGCAGCTCTTCGCTCACTTATCAGTACTTGTTGGAAGAAGCGAGCAAGGTCAGTTCAACTTTATACTTTCTGTGTTTACTCAACCTTTCTCAGACTTATTCTTGTCCCATGCCATCGTTTTCATACGTTCAAATACTTTCAAAGTCTCTTCAGGTGAAGCAACAAAAAGCAGATTTGCGCTGTGAGCTACTGGAGCTTCGCCGCGATTACAACAGGCAAAAAGAAAAACTTGAAAAGGTGTGTATTAGTTCATTTTTTATTCTTCTAGCTGTATTTTATGTACAGCTGGAAGCTAAATCGGTGGACGAGTCTGAAATAGAGAAGCTACGTTGTGATCTGGAATCTTGTCGGAAACGAGAAGAAAGACTTCAGAAAGAAGTAGAACGACTGAAAGAAGCATTAGGTAAAGCTGAGGAGGAGCGAGAACAGCTAGAAATGGAAGTAAGTATGAGAAAATTTATCAAAACTTAGCATTTTTGTTGTCATCGTTGGAAATTTAGTTAAAATCTACTCGAGACGAGGCTGGAGAGGCAAGTGTCGAACAGAAGTTCAATCAAGAGCTTCGCGAAGAGCTGAAAAAGACAGAAACAAAATTATTAGAACTTTCCAAAACCATGGAGATTGTGGACTCGCAGTGCGAGCAATTCAGGGTTTGTGCCTAGGAATGGCTCAATGTTCATTTTGCCGTAGCACCAAAGATTTCAGGAGCTGAAGAAACGCGCCGAAGTGGGAAGGCAAAATGCTTTGAGTGAATGTGCCGAGATGACTACAAAGGTAAGAAATGCATGCTTTCCTGTACCATGGACCGTCAATTCAATTCTACAAAATTTAGTTGCGTGAAGTTGAGCGCCAACTGGAGAGTCAGCGCAGTTT